AAATTCGCATGGAGCGGTGTAGGGATCGGGGAGGGGACTACATTGAAGGGGATAACATTTCGACTGTCTGATTTTTTTTTAATAAAGGGTTAGAGCATGAATCCGGTTTCTTTATTGCCACACCTTGTATGTCTTACAAGTTATCTTGTTCCTTGAGTCTTTGAACCAAAATTTGTTATACATTGGATACTCCCTCTTACATGTTGCATACTGTGTCCACCATATACTCCATGATTTAATTGCAGTAATATTAAATGAAAAGTATTAGATTTGTTATGCCCTTAGCATGGGATTTTTTTCCATTCTCCTCTTACTTCCTCTTTTTTATTTGTTGAAATGCATCATTCACTTGGCTGTATATGATTGTATTGTCATATGTGTTATCTCAGTTTTGATTTAAATGACTTGCAGTATTCCTAATCTGTTGGACCTGTTAGGTCAAGGCTTAATGTAATTGACTGAGCTGAGCGTGTCTCTTGCTTTTATCTGATGATGAAAGCAATGAAGGGAAGCTTCTGAAAGGTATTTTTTAACTGAAAATGAGGTAATAGAAAGTGTCCAACATGCATATCAGTTTAACATTTTGTAGCCAGTGCTATTCAAATACCCCTTCTCTTGTGCTTGAAGGTTTAAAGAGGTGCAGAAAACAGTTCACAATTTCATTAGTTCTTGCATATGAATTGTAACATTTTTGTACATGTAAGGAAATGTTGCACTGGCATGCACGATAAGAAAGTTGTAGTTACTCACATTCAGATGTGGAGTGATACCTGTGATGTAAATATGAGGGTCGTACTGAAAGTCATGAGCAACAAGTGTTTGAAAATTAACATGCTTTATTATTGACAAACCAAGTGCACCACCTCAACCTACAGACCTTTCTTTATTTTTCCACATAATCACCACTTCTTTGTACACATTTCTCCCAGTGTTCTGGGAGTTTGAAAATTCCCCTTCTGTAAAATTCCTTTCCAGCCATCCCAAGACACTGATGCACTGCTTTCTGAATTACCCCCCTTGTCTCAAAATGTCCACGCAGCTGATCCTTTACAAATCCGAAAAGATGGTAGTCGGAGGGTGCCAGATCAGGCCTATAGGAGTGGTGTGGAAGAACTTCCCACCCCATCTTTGCAATTGCTTCCAGTGTGAGGCGAGGGGGAGAGCGTCGTCATGCAGGATGATGATGTTTCGTCCTGGACATTTATCGTGCAATGCACAACGGAGCTTTTGCAGCGTCTGGACATAATGAGCAGCATTGATGGTTTGCCCAGGTTCCAGGAATTCGGCCAGAATAAACCCCTCTGCATCCCAGAAGACTGTGCCCATCACCTTCACAGCTGAAGGCACTGTCTTTTTCTTCTTTTTTGATGGAGAATGCAAATGGTGCCATTCCATACTCTGCCATTTTGTTTCAGGCTCGAAATAGTGAAACCAGCTTTTGCCACCTGTCACAATACATAGCAAAAAATCATCACCTTCGTGTTGATATATCTGCAGTAGTTCTGAGGTGATGGCTTTTCGCTGACCTTTGTGGTCTTTGGTCAATAACCGCGGGACCCAATGAGCACAAACTTTCCTATAGCCCAAGCTTTCAATCATCTCCTCTACTGCACTGTGCCCTATTCCAAGTTTTCGGGCTATTGTGTCCACAGTCACATGCCTGTCATCTTCAGTCATCTCATCCACTCTTTCCTTGTGTTCAGTTGAGGCTGTTTGAGGACAACCACTCCGAGGCTCATCTTCAATGCTGGTGGTCCCATCTTTAAAATGTTTCACCCATCTTCGAACACTGCTCACACCCCTGCACACCCTTCCATAAGCACGCTGAAGTCTCTGGTGAATTTCTGCAGCAGGGATTTCCTCTTTCACAAGAAATTTGCTGACAGCACGCTGGCAAATGTAGTTGTCGGCCATTTTGTTAGGAGTGATACTGGTCACGTGATGCAAGCTATTGACGTCACAGGACACTCAAGGTTAACACAACAGCTGGTTTCACCTACGACCTACGTATTACAAAATAAATTCTGACTGTACATTCAAATGTATGGCAAACTGTTGTTAGAACAGTATGTAACCACACATGTTTCCACATGAGAAGAGTTTAAATTGGGGGGGGGGCATTCATTGAGAGAAACTCGGGCTTAGTAATAAATGCAGCACCTGACTTGTTGGTGGCACCATTTAACATTGCCATTATGCAGAGATTGCTACTGTTGAGCCATAAAATTGCAAGCTTTTAGCTGTTGAACAGTGGAACTTCTGTGTTGCTATTGCAGTTCCCCCACCCCCACCATCTTCTAAGAGTTTTAGTTATGGGGATACATGTACCATTGTCAGTTCCCTGGTGAGGCAAGCAACATGGTACATATACTAAGCCAAGCCAGCTCTAAAGTGTTGATAACACACCTTTGCCACAAATCTTTATAGACTTCCCTTCTCTTTGAATTGTTTGTGCCCAGCAGTCATTGTAATCAAACCAGTTTTCCCTTAGCTTTTGGGATATGATTTCTTACTGATGCCATAGTTATGTACCATACTGTATTGTTCTCTGTTTATGAAAGCTGTGACCCAGCTTCAGTCGGTCACTTCAGTAAGCCAACCCACTACAGGCATTGCAATTTCAACTACTATGGTGCCACAGCCAGCTGCCTCAGTTCCAGTCCCAACACCTGTGGCAGCTGTGGAGAGCTCATACTTCAGCACATCTGCACCAGCATTCGTCCCTGCTCAGGCATCAGCCCTGCAGCAGTCCCGGCCTTTAAACGAGGTCATCAGTTCCGTTAACAGTAGTTTCAATTTCCTGCAAGTAAGACAATTTCAATAGTAAATATGGAACAGTTGTGTTAAAGTAACATCAGATGTTTAGATTGCTGGCTGTATGATTTAGTTTCACATTGTACTTGTGAATTGTGGCTTATACGAGTATAATGTTGACAGTTGAACAGAACAACAGTAGTCTGTATTTTATAAAATACGATTTTAGCATTCCGAACAGGGTTAATGGATTTTGGCTGTAAGTTATGGTAACCAGGCATCATTGAACATAAGGAGAAGAGATAAGCAATTTACTATGATCAAGGTCCATGAAATTGGTAGTTTGGTTCTCAGTAGCACTATTTTACTGCCCAGTTTGATAATCATTTTGTTCGCTGTTTAGAATTGCCTGAACCTGACCAGACATGAAACTGCTTGTAAGAATGAGTTTTTCAGTACTTCAGCTTGTTTCACTTGCATGCTGCAAACAAACATGCAGTGATGGTTTAGAAAAGAGGGATGTTTTTTCCACAGTAACACAACCTAAAGGGCTGAACTGTTAATAACTCAGACATATTTTGTTTTATATCATATCGACCTGTAGAACTGGAGATGATTTTTTAAGAGTTATTCATTCTACAGATCACTTTTAATATGACCGATGTCTGAGAAAACACTGTGATTTCTGTTCAAACACTGTTCCTTATGGCACACTGCATATTTATTAAACTTTGACATAACAGACTACACAGTGTTAGTCTGTCGTTTGTTACTTTAGTAATGGCTTGAATCTGCAGTAAGTTACCATTTAGACTGAAATGTTGAATTAGAAAAATCATATGTGTTGGTCAAGCTGAGAGCACTCTTGCTTTATACTGGGAAGTACTGATTTCAATTCTTGATGAAATGACTGGGTATCCTGACAGGTTTTTCTTAGTTTTCCTCTTTCCTTAGAGGAGAATGCCAAGATTATACATTGGACCCTTGATTCAAAGCAATTTTTGTGGGGCAGTTTCAGTATGTGTACTCGTATTACATGTGAAATTGACATTGCAGTTTGTACTCATATTGGGGAACATGGTCACTGATATATATATATATATACATGTTTATTCATGATATAACATGGTGTTTGAAGGGTCCATTTTACTCTGAAATAGGTTACAGCATTTCCAATTGATTGAGTAATTCTGGCGTTTTAAGCTTTGTAATCTAAGCTGTTGAAAGTATCAGTAAATAAATGAGTAATTCTAGACAGAATAGTGAATTGTAATAAGTTAACCTGTGTTGCTTAGGAGTCAGAGTTGGATTCACCTGATTTGTCTGCTGTGCTGACGGGGACCAGCCAGCAGAGTCAGCAGGCTCAACAGAGAGGGATTCCAACACCACCTCCAAGTGTTCCTGTTGCAGTTGCGCCCATCCCCACACAGACATTCACAAATCAGAATTTTGCATCTGTGACTACAGCAAATGTGGCACAGCAGGTTTGTTTTGTTTTGTTTTGTTGTGACTTACTCCTGTTGGTCATTTCTAAAGGATTCTGATGATTGGGTATTGCACTTGGAACTACAGCAAAACCAGTATGAAATGGGGCCACATGGGACTGGATTTCTTTTCACCTTGCAGCCAGGTTTTATACAGGAACTTGAAATTAAATTAAACTTTTTATGGCTGCATTACCTCATATGTTACTTCAACTTGTGTACAAACAGATCATTGTTTTAATCACATTATATACATTGTTTAGTGTATTCAGTAGTGCAGTAAGGTTTCCTGCCCGAATGTTGTTGATTGGTAGACTTGATTTTCATTCACGATTCTAGCCTTGGACTTTAATAAAAAAGGTTTGAAATTATTATGATGTCAGATTTCCTAAAGTTTTCTGGTTCTGTTGGAAGGCCTCATGGTATGTCTTAACACATTGAGGACCAGCAATTTAAATATTTAAATCGCCCTGGGGACTGGCATTTTTAAACCCAGTACCCCCACTTGTGCACTCTTCACATTAAAAATTAATATAAAATCTCCTAATTAATTTTATTAACAAAAATTTTTGGAGAACACTTATCAGTGCTCCTAGAAGTGCTTGAGAGTGTGATATTTATGAAACATTCCCCTTTGTGAAGTGGTATTACACAGAACTTGCAAATGTAGGCAGTCATACTCCTTTTTCTGTGAACTGCGCGCTAACACGGCATTGCTTCGAAGGATGCTTCCCCTTGGAATGTTCACTCTTCACAATTTTCATGAGTGTATGGTTCTGCATATCACCCGAGAGTCACCCAGGGGGCTCCACATGAGGCCTGCGTGGGGTGGGAGTTGATGGGGTCAGTCGCACTAAGTCTGACTCTTGTTCTGCTGCCACAATCTGGTCTGTAGCCCAGGCTTTTGCCACATTCATCAGAAATGCTTTGTATTTCAATTTCAAATCAGGGTTTAGATTTTGTAAACCAAAAATGAATTGAAAATGGCACAATTTATAAGCCACAAGGCAACTTTCTTTGTCCACTTTATTGTTTTTTTAGGAAGAGAATAATATGCCAAGTATTGATCGGCTCTACCAACTCCCTTCATGAACATATTATAATCATAAATACAAATAGGCTTCTTTACTTGTCCATGTCTCCTTTGAACATCAACCATGCGTGAATTGTGAATTGTGGAAATCATATTCACAACACGAGTATCCCTATCTCCAAAAAACAGTTCTGCTGCTTCAGACACTTCCATCAGGTCCGATGGAATTTGTTTCACCCCGGGATTTCCAGTAAACTGTCCCAAAATAGGCATTTTGTCTACTTTTCCCCATGTGGCTGTCCCTGCAATTTTGCTACCTGCACTTTCGTCAGAGCTACTTTCACTTTTATTGTCTGTGGCCACAATTGTTTGTTGTCCTCTGTCACTGCCACTGTCTGAGTCACTTTCACTGCTCTCAGAAGGAACATTGGATAGCTCATCGGAGAACAAGTCAGATATTTCATGTTCTCCGAGAGATCGCTTGTTCTTCAACCGCTTTCGTCCTTGATTCATATTGCACTAACTTCCTGCCTGGTACATAACAGCTTGAAGGGTGAAAGATCATTTTCCTTCGGAGGGGGAACCAAAATAGGGAGGTCAAGTTACTGCCTACTAAGCAAACATTCCAGAGTATTATTACGCAGTAGTCATTCATTTGGGTGGTGCCAGAGAAAGGTATAGTGTGTTACAACCTAATGTGTCCTAAAATCATGATATCGTGCGACCGGTCCGCCATGTTTAAAAGCCAAAAGCATGATATGATTGTGTTAAGTTTGCACTGAAGTTTTTCTTGGGAAGTTCCGTCATCTTCCTCATCCTTCTTCTCATTTTCCTTCTGTATACTTTGCTGGTGATTCTGAATGAACTTGTATATTTCCTTTGCATCAGCTTCTGTTTCAATGTTGGTATCAGTATTAAGGTAATCTTCTGCCTGAACATTTTCATATGTAGCCTGATAGAGACTCTCTGTTGGGGGAAGTCTGTGCAAGACATGTATATTTGAGAGTTCAGTGTGAGGGTGGCAAGTAGCATTGTCCAGATATAAGAGAACATTTTATTTCCGTTTCATCTTTGCATTAAATGCTAGCAGCCATTCCCCCATTATATGTCATCCATGCTTGTTAGATTTCCAATCAGTAGGGAGTTCTGTTATGTTGGTACTCTTAAAACATCATAATGAATAAATGAATGTATGAGGGGTAGGCCTTCTCGGCCCTTGCACCTAGACCTCAGTGGTCCATTGTGCTTCCCCTTTTTTAATTATTCCCTCAACCCCATGCTTCGGACGAAGCGCAGGATTTTGGACGTGGGGGCGTCAAAATAGTCACTTGGTTCCATAAAGTACTGACCCAAGTGACGTAGTCTTAAATAAGCTAAAGCCTCTCATTCACACAGGACGTGTGTGTCTGTTTCATTTTCTTCTTGACACCTCTCACAAGTGGGACTATCACTTAGTCCCAGTTTGTACAGGTGTCCTTTGAGGTGACAGTGTCCTGTAACTAGTCTTACCGCCCATCGTAGCTGGTTCCTGTTGAGCTTCAACAGTTCATTTGCTCTTTTAGCGGAAGGTCCTCGTATGAGTCTCTTTGCTTGCCTGAGTCCAGTTAAGGATTCCCAGTATTTCTTATGTTTTATGATAGTCCAGTCCCTGATTGCCTGTTTGACAACTCCAAGAGAGATGCCACAGGCTGGGTCAGGTCCTATGAATGGATGTTCAGCGCCAGTTTTAGCTAATTGGTCTGATGCTTCATTTCCGGCAATACACTCATGCCCCGGCACCCATATCAGCTGTACCCTGTTATGTTTGGCCAGTTCCATGAGGGTTTGGTGGCAATCCCAGACCAATTTTGAGTTGATCTGGTGTTTGTCAAGCGCTTTAAGTGCAGCTTGGCTGTCAGATCGAATGTAGATGTTCCTATTTCTATAGTTCCTATCTAAATTCTCCATAATACATGTTTAATGGCATATACTTCTGCCTGGAATACTGTCGTGTACTGCCCAAGGCTGAAACTAGGTTTCTGCCTCGTGCCATGGCAGTACACACCATCTCCAGTGCCCTTATTTGTCTTGGAACCATCTGTATACCAGATCAGTCGCCCTTTTCTATCGGACCGAAACCCGTCTTCCCATTCACTCCTGTCAGGAAATCTGACCGTGAAGGGTTTTTCATGTACATATCTCAGTATCATTCTGTCAGACCCCTTTTAAAACATCATGGTTTAGCAGCTTTCCCTGCAGCCAGAATTTTTTTCATCTCTCCAGCCATAAAGCCGCAGATAAAGACTCGGCCTTTTCTTGCAGAGTCTTCCACCAGAAGCTTTTCAGCCCTTCAGATACTGAGTTTTTCTGGTAATGTGTGAAATAATTGCCCTGTTTTGTCACCATATACAGTTTCCTTTGGTTTGTATCCACCCATAATTGAAGGCAATTTGGCAGTCCAGTTTGCTGCTAACATCTCCAGACTCACCACAGACTTCATTAAACGCAGTTCTAATGCCACTTTCTGAAAGTTTCTAATCATCCGTTAGATGCATAAAACCACTTTTATCCAGTTTTGAGTTTGCTTGTTCCTGTATCATTGTTTGATGCACAATATTCCAAAGTTTCTAACTCTCTCATTTACACACTACTCCAGTACAATTTCATTGATGTTTTCATTTCCAGTTTTTGTTAGTTATTGTTTGATAGAATCACTGCTACAATTTTTCCAGTGATTTCTTATTTCTGACTTGGCTTTTACTATGTCTTACATTTGAAGTTTTCCAAATTAAAGTGTGTCACTATTTATTTCACTGACAACTTGTCTTTTTCACTTGCTTTGATCACTTTTACTTTTGTGTTAAGATCGAGCACTACTCTCTTCTTGGAGGCCATGGTAGAGAGGTAAAGCTATTCCTGTTATCAGCTGTGAAGGTCTGTAGGGTTGTGGGGTGGTAAGGCTCCTACATCTAGACAGTCGGCTCACAGATGGCAGTAAGGCCAGCCTTGCAGGCTGCCCTTTACTCCCTGGGAATATTCCTGGTACTTGTTTCTGTTAGAAGCTGAGTTGACTCCAGGGCCATGATATAGCTGGAAGGATTAGTTAAATTGAAAAAATCCAATTACACTGGGATGATTGTCTGTTGTATGAGGGTAGACATTTCACTAGCATCACTGTAACTCTTAGGAATAGAACTTGAAAACATGAATGGATGCCACTGTGTGGGTTGAGATGGATGAGACTTTGATTTTCCAGTATCATTGTCCCTTGGCCTTCACTTAGATGCCCTCAAAACAGACACACATGCTAATGAATGATTGAAATGAAAGGGTGCAGTCAGACATGAAGTACAGTATGGGGAAAAAATAACTAATTCATGCAGTATTGGGGAAACAAAATATTAAGAATATTTTTTGTTGAAGCCCTCTGCTTGTTCCCCATTTCGTTGTTAGACAAGTTTCCATTTCTCTCTTGTGGGTGTATACTGAAATTTGTGCTAGATTTGCAGGTCCAAAATAAATTTTTGCAGTGAAAGTAAAGTAAAGTTATCCCATGAAGGCCCATAGGGTTGTGAGACAAGGGTCCGACATTATGTAGACAGTCGGCTCAAAGATGGTGGTAAGGTTGTCAGCCTTCCACGCTGGCCACGCTTTACTCCCCAGGAAATTTATTTAATTAATTCCTAGTACTCATTTCTGTTAGAGGCTGAGTTGACCCCAGGGCCATAGCGTGGCTGGAAGGATTAGGTCAATTGAAAAAATCCAGTGACCTCTTTGGGACATGAACTCGTGACCGTCCGGCTTGTAGCATAGTGCCTCAACCAACTACGCTACCACATTAAAAATTTTCTGCAGTGACTAGTTTTATTTAGTACATAGTCTGTTATAGACGGTTTTCACTGTACAGAGTTTCTGAACGTTTTTGTTGTCTTGTATTCTAGATGAACACAATGTTTCATTTTCAGAAACAGGTTCTTTCTGAATAGTAGATGGTGTTAAAAGTTTATAAACACCATAATTCCGAATACTGGTACATTTATTGAAACTGTTGTTATTTGGGTGCAGGCACTTCTCTGTGCCTTGATTTGTTAATATGAAAATCAACTGATGCTGTAGTTAATAATGTTGCTGTGAGTGTCAGATGTCACAGTTGAAAGAGACTGAAGTGACAGAAGAGACGTAGCTAGTGTAGAAATGTAATGTGCTGTCCATAGTTTATCTAAATATGTGACCTCTAGAATCTCGGACCTTCTGAGATACTTTCAGGGCTGAACTTCTTTAGGGTTTCAGATGTAAATTTCTTGAGTTACGTCAGAATCAGATTGCAGGGCTCGCATAGGCATAGTTTTCCAGTATGTAATTAAAGTCAGATACTCGTAAATGCATGATCTGGCAACTATACATACCATGTTGTATTCTGGAATCCATATTTGTAGTATTTCAAGAAATATTACTGACAGACAGAGGTGTATATTTGTGTGCAATCATGTGGTGCAGAAACATCAGAACGTATGTTGTAGCATGTGATTGACTGCGATTTTTCATCCATAAATCTACATGTGTGCCCCCCCCCCCTACTCTCTCTCCCTCTCAGACTACAGTAATCATTCTGATGTGGAGGGGGGAGGCATTTAACAATCAAGAGCACAAATGTGGATGTCAAGTCAATTATCATCATCGTCGTCCTGGGTAGTAAGCAGCTGCAAATGCATTGTCATATAGGGACAGTATTTGATCTTGATGCCATGCTGTTTTCCATGTATTGAGCCTGTTTATAGGCTGGGATTGTGGCCTTCTGCCTTGCGATACTGTGTTGCCTTGTAGGAAGCTAAATTTTGGGGAAACTTGCTGTGTGAAGTGTGTAGTGTGAGGAATCAGTTTGGTTATGGTGACAGGCCACAAGGAAGGTTTTCATGTACCCATAGAAGTGAGATAGGAAATGGAGTCAGTTCCTTGGCAATATGAGTGATGGGTAGAAATATGGGCCTAGGCTTCATTTCCTTACCTACATCCTGTGGGTCCAGTTGACCACCTTTCTCAGAACCTGCATGTGTAACCAAATCAGTTTTGTACCCAAAAAATTTGAATCCTGAAAATCAAGGCAGCATGGTATCTGCCTGCAAGACTGCATGGTCTCAGTTCAAAAGATCACAACCTGAGAATTACATTCTGTTGGGAAGTGTTTTGAGTTTGCTGCAGAATTGATGTGGATCAGGGTAGGTTCAGAAGGGAATCTTCCAGAGTATCATTAGTCATGGAAAAATTTTTAAGTGGTGTTAAACTGTGTAGCATGAACAAAAAACTATCTAATAATTATATGAGTCATGTAATTGTGCTTTTATCCCCACAATTCTAAACCTTAATATATTCCTTTGTCATATGTATCATATTTGTTTTGCATTACAGGTAGTTTATCAACCAGGAAGTGAACTAACTCAGTCGCACATCCCAGGGTTTGCTACAGCTACCCCAAACCCACCTCCACCAATTCCAATGCCACCTTCTCACCATCAGCACCGTTCAATTAGCCCAGCAGTTCCCGTAGCAGCAATGCAGCAGGCATACAACAACCAGCCTGCAACACAGCAGGTTGCAACTTATGCTTCACAGGCACAGCAGCAGCCACAACCTGCTGTTGTCCCAAATCCATATACTGTGCAGCAACAGGCTCAGGTATATCATCATGTATTAGAGTGACTTTCAACAGGGTTTTGGATTGGAGATTGGGTTTCCTAACCACCTACAGGTTGTAACTACAAATAACTATAACACCATCACTAATTTCCACATTTTACAAGTCCCTGCAGCCCATGCTAAGTTTTTTCTGTCTGCTGTGTCTTTGCCAGTAGTTGCCTGGTAACAGCTCCAACAGTGGTTATTCCTCTGTGTCTGTGCTCAAGTCCTGTCTGAATAGCAGCTTCCTTACAATTGACTCACTTCTTAATTTGTAGCTTGGACCGTGCCAAAACCACCATTTATTGTTGTACTCCAATCATTTCCATGGTAACATGTTTATTTCTGTAGGTGTTACCCAGTAACGGCTACATAGACTTCCTTCTTAAGAATCTGTTGCCTAGCAGCGAAAGTTTGGTTGTTTGTTTCATGGTCATTACCCAGTAATGGGTCTACAGGCTACAGTGTATTGTTGAACATTATTTTTTGTGCTTTGATTAATAAGATAACACATTAGTAGGTTTGAATGCTATTTGGTGACATGATCATGGACTGGACATTGTTAGGTTATTTGTCTCATTCCTACAACTTAAATTTTTGTGTATTAGAGAGTATAATTGGAAATTTTGAACCAAAATATGCATTTCAGTGATATGCTGTAATTTTTATATTTAAATTCTCATTGGAATTTTTGGTTAATTTAAAATTATAATTACAGTCATGAATTACATGAAATAAATTGAGAAATATAGGATTTGCGGTTCTCACACTAGTGGTTATGGAGTTATCTTTCTGTAATATAACGCTGCCTAGTCCATTTGAAGTCAACCAGTGTTTGGGATGAATATGTTGCTTCCACCTGCAAGATTTAAAAGTAAGGTAAGCTTACACTTCAACCATAAAGATGGTGGTGACATGTTCCTCACAAAAATTTTTTGGCTTTCAGAGGACTAAGCAGTGTTATATCCCAGAAGATAGAAATTTTCAAGTCGAGAAATGATCTTGCTATGTTTGTGCAGTTCCTAAAGTACAGAACATGAAACCCTGTTGCAAGAATTTGTTGAAGTTTGTTGGTGCATGGCTTGACATTCTGAAGCAAGCAATGTTCTTACCAGTGGGGCAGTACTGGAAGAAAGGACTGTATGTACTGCTAGAGGATCAGGAGTGCCAGTCCAATTAAAAGAGGAGGAGTGGAAGATAGAAAAGCAACTTCAGATTATTTAGAATCATGACACCCGTAACAATTATACACTAGTGTATACACACTAGGCTACTGTACAGGTTTTCTCTAATATGACGTTGAGTTCCAAAAGTGTCAAAAGTCAGAATTTGCTGTGTGATTATAAGTGAGACATACAAATTCTAGCAGTTGGAAATTGTTGGGAAATATGTGAGAACAACTGATGTCCTATCAACCAGCTACACAGTTCTCTGTGTGGTCTGCTTATATGGGATGAAGTTGCATGTTTTTGGCATTGATGCTTCGCACCATGTGGTTGAATGTCATGTGAAGTTCAAGAAATATATGGTGAATAGTTGCTCAACATACTGTCATTGCCATAAAAAGTAAAGTAAAGCTAACAGGCCATGGAGGCCCATAGGGTTGTGTAGGGTCCCACATTATCTAGACAATCGGCTCAAAGATGGCAGTAAGGTTGTCAGCCTTATGTGCTGGTTGTGCTTTACTCCCCAAGAAAATTGTTTAATTAATTCCTGGTACTTATTTCTGTTAGAGACTGAGTCGACCCCAGGGCCATAGTGCAGATGGAAGGATTAGGACAATTCAAAAAAACTCCAGTGACCTCATCCGGACTTGGACCCGCGACCTTCCAGCTTGTAGCATAGTCCCTCAACCAACTACGCTGCCATTATATTGCTAATTACTGATTATGCTGTTTTCTGCTGCAAGTTGCAGAAAATTAGAGAAATAGTGTGACATGTGAATGCATTCTTGGTAAACATTCTGTTGCTAGGTTTGCAACAATAGATGAATATCTGTAAACATTCTCACAGCATACGAATGTAGGCAGCAATAGAAGAACTGCCATTTCTGTGCCATGGAAATGTTTATGGACATTCCTTTATTGTTGCATAACCTAGGAAAGGACTGTCTGCAGTCTTTGCGGAAACTTGACATGTATGCTAAAACAGCAAATCTGAATGTCATTATTGTGTATTATCAGGAAACTTGTGTTTCAGGAGCAAGTTGACCATCAGCAGGTGACTGAACAAGTGACAAGTGTGACTATGGATGACCCTGCTGATGAATGGGGACAGACTGAAACTATCCAGACTGACTGGAGTGAACAGTCAGTGAACCGGCCAGAATGGAGTCAGCAGACTGAATCACAGGGAGATTGGAATTCTTCACTTGGCAACCAGAATGATTGTAAGTCTTGTGATATTGTCTCTCAGATATTCCATTGGCAATACAGTGAAGCTCCTGTGTAACAGTTCTTTCAACCCTGGTAGATTTTGTCACCAAATGAAGGAAGTTTAACACTGAAATTATTTACTCGTACTTGGGATCATTGAAATTGAACAGTGCATGAGGGAAAATATTAGATTTGGGTACATTGCTTTAGGGGGTGTGGTAGTCCACTGTAGTGGGATACAAATGGAAATCTGTGGTTGGTTAGAGAATACTATGAGTTGCATGGGATGAACGAAATTGAAACACTGCAAATACAGTACACATTTAACAAACAAACAAGTTCCTTCCGTCAAATGTGACACTGTTTTAAGTTTTCCACCTCGTCACCACCTGCCTTACATGTTTCGGAAAACTTAAAAAAGTGTCACATTTGACGGAAGGAACTTGATTGTTTGTTAATTGGTTAGTGTGACGGACCAGAATGAAAGACCTTAAACAGTACACATTTCTTTATTAATATGGTGTTGGTATGCCTTTTATTTTAAGTAAAGCTGCAGTTCTTGGAATGGACTCATGCAAGTTCTGAACAGGCTCTATCAGAATTTTATCCCATTCTTCTTGAAGAACATCTTGAAGTTGCTTTAGAGATGATGGAGGTGGTAATCTGTTCCTCCAGTCTCCAAAATGTGCCAGAGTGGTTCAGTGATGTTCAGATGTGATTGTTCTGGCCAGGGAAGATGTTGAAGTTCACTTTCATGCTCTTCAACTGAACTACTTTCACTTTGTGTGCCAGAATTGTTGTACTGTAGCAGATAATTAAATTACAACTATAACATTTGCTTTGATTATGAAGTTTCTGTAAGGTCAAATTTGATGGCAGGAGAATTGAGACTGTCTTTGGAGAAAAGAGAGTGAACAGGCTGGTGTAACATTAATGCAGTGAAATTATATTTGAGAGGTTATCATATGAACTTAGTGTAAAGTGCAAAGTATTGTATAAATTTGATAGATTTTGCTATCACTGCATTCCTTTACAGACTTTTTATTGCACATCCCAATGGTAGCAAGTGACTGGCAAGCATATCACATGTGACACAGAGATGATTTTGGTTGAAGCTCTAGTTACAAAATGACCGTATTACCTCACATATAAGAAGCACATATTACACATATTTTCCTGTTGGTAAATTGAGGTGCATCTTAAATTCAAGGAATGTGCACTTTTCTAATGTTTTCCCCTGAAACCCACATTCAAAAACTGGATGCCTCTTGAATTTGAGACCATCTTACGTTTGAAGTAAGACAGAATATATAAGAGCTTTGTTATAGGCACAAAATTAGTGCGACCTATACTGACATCTCACTATAACACAGAACTCTTGAATCCTTCTTCATCCCTATAATTTAGTGGTCTGTGCAAGTCATGTGGTAAGGAATTTGTAAATGCAACACTTTTATTTATTGCTGGTGGGGTGGGACTAGGTTCCTTGTACTGTAGCCACTTCTGGCCTATTGTACCAGCCCCAGATGATAGGTGAGGGTGATTGTGGAGCAATTGGTGGAATGAAGATTGGCAGGGGAAACCGAAGTAATTGGAGAAAACCTGCCCCAGTGCCACTTTGTCCACCACGAATCCCACTTGACCAGACCCGGGATCAAACCCGGGCCACTGCGGTAGAGAGCCACCGACTAACCGCTTGAGCTGTCTAGCCTCCAGATATAACACATTATTTAATGCATTCTTTGTTAATATTTCTGGTAGATGTATTTGAACATAATGAGCCAAAGACATTGTTTTGGTTGTATAAAACTGCTTATGATGGTGTTGCAAAAGAAGCTTGTGAGCACACAGATTGAGGGTGTAAGTTTAACTTGCAATTTATGCTGTTGTTTTGCATCAATGGAAGGTTCTGGTTCTGATAATAGTCTTATTTCCTTGGTCTCAGCTGATCTGTACATGTTGCTGTTAAGACATTCGTCCTACAATATGTAGTTCCACTAATGAGACAGACAGTTACTGAGAACATCATATAGTATGCTGCTCAAAGTTGAAAATTATGTTCTCTTTTCCAGGTACAATATTGAACTGGGGTTCTAAAAGAGAGCTACCACTATCACTTTTTAAGGTGTTAGGTTTAATGGATAAAGTACCTAAATGTTTTTATTTTTGATATAAAGTTATGTTACACAGTATTGTCTCACAAAATATGAATTGTAACACAACATACATGGATATTACTTTTTTTTTCTTCTTTCCCCCCCCCCCCATAGCCTTCATAACTCAAAGCAGTACTAGAGTCTATGGAAGTGGACGAGGACGGATGAATAGGGGAAGTGGGCGAGGTTCATCTAATGGCTATTCTGGCAATAGAGGACGTGGCAACTACCAAAATGGTCGTGGAGGAGGTGGTAAGCGAATATTCACTTCATATTTTATGTACAGAATATGTGTGCTATGTAACATTTAAAAGGATATATCAGTGCTTTATTTAAAATGTAACAAAATCATGCAATAAGATTTCCATTAAAAAAATGAACACCCTACCATTGTGCTGTGTTAGTACTTCGTAAATTCTGTTTGTGTAATTGACTAACCTGGGAGGCTACTGCATCAGCAAAAGTAACATTTTGAACATTATAAACAGTACACATTTGAATGTAGTAACATATCACTGGTAGGTAGCATTTAATGTTTGACTTGTGTTTTGGAGGTGCCTGATTGAAATCTCAGTCATTGTTCCCAACTTTCGCAATTACCCTTTGAGACTGAATTCACCATTAAGCCATTTTAAAGAATTCATTCTGTTTCTGCATCAGTGTTATGCTACAGGACAGCCAGCCTTGCATCATTCAAGGTCATCATCCACCTTGCAATGCTTGCAACGCAGTTGTCTTTGTGTTTTTTTTGAGGGGGGGGGATTAGTAAAAAGTGGTTAATATGTGCTTTCACTGTGCTGAGTACAGGTATCATAATTTTGTAGAAATGATTCTTTAATAATGAATGGGCTATGATGTTAAATAGAAGGACGCTGACAGTGGTGGTGGTTATGAAGAGGTGGAAAGGGATCAGCTGTATTGCAAGTTGAAATTGTGAGGCATCTTAAGCTGGATCCACTGTTTTTGAGTATCATAACTTTACAGAGAAACTCTTGGTACGTGAATAGGAAGGCGATTGTCTAGTACATTCAAATAAAGGAAAGATATTAAGACTTCAGGAAATGAAGAACCTGAAACTTTGTAATTAGAATTGTTCCAGCAAATGAAATCTGAAAATATCATGATTAATGGATCTGTGGTATGATCGAAAGCCAATTGAGGTTAAAAATGGGGAATTTTAAAGCCTCATATGGTTGGCTTGACAGGTTAGAAAAATGGCACGATATATCCTGCAAATGTATGAATGGTAGAAGGGGAAATGTGAGTGAAGATGGGTAGTGATGGTAAATGGGATTGTATGCACTTGAAGACTGTTAACACTTCGTGGACCGGCGATTTAAATATTTAAATCACCCTTGGGACCGGCATTTTTAAACCTACTACCCTAAGTTGTGCACTGTTCACTTTAAAAATTAATATAAAATCTCCTAATTAATTTTATGAACTAAAATTTTTGGAGAACACCAATGCTCCAAGAAGTGCTTGAGAGTGTGATATTTCTGGAAACATTCCCCTTTGTGAAGTGGCATTACACAGAACTTGCACATGTAGAGAGTCATACTCCCTTTGTTGTGTACTGTGCAAACACGGCGTCGCCTAGAAGGCTCCTTCCCCTTGGCATGTTCACTCTTCACAATTTTCATAAAAACTTAGGTTGTGAACCCTTGACTTTGCCATAATCAGCATATTCCTCATGAATCACCAGTCTGGGTGGAAACGTGTTTGCTGTCTGTTGCCACAATTTTTTGTTTGCCCCTGCCACACTCACTATCAGAGTCACTATCACTTCAATGTATCACTTAGAATTCAACCAATATACTGAACATAAAAACGGTGAGTATTAACTTTGCCATAATCAGCATATTCCTCATGATTTGCCAGTCTGGGTGGAAACATGTTCACTGTCTGTGGCCACAATTTTTTGTTCGCCCCTGCCACACTTACTATCACACTCATCGGAGAACAAGTCAGATATTTCTTGTTCTCTGAGAAAACACTTGGACCTCAACCTCTTCTGACCTTGATCCATTTTGCACTAGTAACTTCCTGCCTGGTGCATGCAGCTGGAAGATGAACAAAGGCATTTTCTTTTGGAGTGGGAAAGGAAAACAGCGGGTTCATGTTACTGACTAGGAAGCAAACATTCAAGAGGTCTGTCACGCACCAGTCATGCGTCTGCCTGGTGCCAGTGCAAGGTATAGTGTGTTTCAACATAACGTGTCCTAAAATCATAATAATATGCCACCGGTCCGCAAAGTGTTAATATATACACCTTATGAATGTGAGTGAAGATACTGTGGAATGCTGGAATGTAATTTCTACTACTAATGGGTCAATTTTTTAAAATAATGTTTAGTGCCTTTGTGTGGATTTAATGAAATTGAACATTGGTCTTTGTCAAAATAAACATTTTCTTAAGCTTACGGTTACCGAAACAATGAAGGAGGAAGCAGCAGTTACTACCACAATGGTTACCAGCGGGACAGTTTTGGTAACAGCAATTATGGAGGGGGATATAAGCGTGGTGCTCGTGGCAGTGGTGGAGCCTCCCGAGGAAACATGGACCGGGGGGGTGAGTATACATAGTAGATTCCATTAAAAGCCTTTACCCGTTTGGGTTTACTGAGTACTGAATTTGGTGTAATTTTCTCTTGAAAATTAAAATTTTTTTATGGTGGATGTCTTTGGCATTATTAAAATTGATCATATACCTTGCCAGAGTGGCCAGTGTTTCAGAGGTGTATGCTGCATCCATCAGGGTAGAAATGAGTAGGGTGCATTAATGTTTCTGTTATGTAGGTTGGTGGTCTGGTAGATCCATTGGGGGAAGGGAGCTGGTGCATTGTCTGGACCAGTAATGACAGTGAACAGGGAGATGTGACAGAAGTAGCCTTTATAATGGCCACAGGTTTGACCAGAAACCATCAGCATATGGTGTTTGCTAGATGCATCCTCGCCCTAGTTGAACCACTGGAATTCTAAACTCAGCAATTTTTTAGTTTTGCAGGGTATCCAGAAAGTCACTTCAGTATTTTAGGAGGATATCTTTCTTTTCCATGGTAAATGTTAAAGAAACAGTTCACTGAAATAAAGTTTGAATTAGAAAGCCCCTGTTAGATTTCAGCATGCATTTGGGATGTATGTAAAACATAATTTAATTTAATATTCATGTTACACACAGTAAACAGTCTGATGTGAATGATGAAAAAATCTTCCTGTTCCCCCTATAATTTAGCATAAAATATTGTTGTATTTGGAAAATGGATGTTGTATTATAAACTACAGTTTGTTTGTCTCATCCCCCTCGCCATATGTGGACAGAATAATTTCAGATTTACATGAAACCAGGAACTGCTATTATGGTGTAGTGCAGATATACTCTTGTTTTATTGATTGAGGCTACATTTTCAATGTAAGAATTAAGGTTGAAGTTGAATTACTTGGTTGGTCTCAAGAATTATAGCACCAAAACTTTAATTGCCTGGGTTTTCTATTTTGTGGGCATTTAAAAATTCCAAAATATATAGTATAATGGGACAGTGTACACAGCAGTAATTCTGAGAGAGACAAAATAGAATTACTTTTGTGTAGACTGTCCCATTATATATCCTTCATGTGGCACACAACAGGATGCATACTATAAAGATTTAAAAATTCATCTTTTGTTACCCCTTAACCCTTTGACGTGGTCATTTAAATTCCGCGGCCGCGGCTCCTGCGGTAATATATTGAGCCGGCCATTTAAATTTTGCTCGAAAATTATTTATTCATCATTGTTCTTAAATTCTATGAGATAGGAACATGAAACTTTCACTAAAATGATCTTAAATGGTGGTTTTATAACCTTACCTTATAATATGGGCGCCCTGTATCTCGGCCATGGAAGCAGGTTGTTTAGTATTTCAGCAGTGAATGGTACGCCTTGAAGGATGAAACTTTCACTAAAATGATCTTAAATG